CACCCCCCTGTGCGTCGAAATACATAGCGTCGTGAATACTCCATCAATCAACGTGATTCAAATTGGGAACGGTAGCTGAGATTATGAGCTACAAAAGATCTGGGTTACGCGACATTTCAACGGCTAGTTTTTGTCGACAACGTTTATTCTGAAATCGACGAACCTGTTCAGAATTGCGGATTCCTTTTTTAGTATTTCTAGCTCCAAAGTTCACCTAGACTCCATCCTTAATCCCAGCAAGTGGTATCAGAGCAATATTGAAGACATTGAGAGGAGTCTACAGAAGTGTGAAGACTCTTCTAGACCCACCATGGCCTGTGGGTGTGCCTAAGTGGTGTCCTAAAGGTTGGATGTGACTTCCGCTAAGAGGAAACTCTGCCGAAATTTTGTGGACGCCGACACTTGTGAAAATATCGAGGGAGTTGTGTGTGGACAGCAAAGGGGAGCTGAAATTCATCATTTCTCAAGGAGAAGATGAATGAGAGAGGAGGAGATGCTAATGGAAGAGGAGCTGTACCTGAGAAGACAAGTGAGCCGCCACCATCCAAAGTTGAAGCTTTGGATGGCTCCAACTATGAGGAATGGAGTGGACGGATGAGGAGTGCCTTCAAACACAACAAGCTACTAAAGATTGATGTTTGGGAGGAGAAGATGCCGGTAGAAGGCGAAGCACGTGAACGGTGGATTGAGAAAAGCGCGGTGCTTTTCGACCTCATCCTTCAATCGGTCAACAAGGAGATGTTCGAGCACATCAAGGATCTTGTGGATGCGGATTATTCGGGTCCAAGGGCGTGGAAACTACTACGTGATGTGATTCAGCCCAACAATCTCCCGATGGTGATCGTGCTTGAGAAGGAACTTGCTGCCATCTCCATGCGACCAAGGGACGATGTGAAACCGGTCCTTGACAAGATCAAGGACACCTATGCAAGGATGGCAGCAGCGGGCAGCAGTGTATCTCAGCTGCAGCAGTGCACCAAGATCATCTCGGTGTTGGAAAACTCTTGGGACAACCTCATCCCCACCCTCAACTCTCAGCAAGATCAAGGGACACCTGAGTGGCTAAGGCAGCAAATTCTGCAGGAGGACTTCCGCAAACGTCATGTGGGAGATGGTGCTTCCACTAAGACTGCTGAGAGGTATGGAGTTGCAGGGTGCGGCAGAGGAAGAGGGGGTTGGAGAGGCCGAGGCCGTGGGAGGAGCTTTGGCAGAGGAAGAGGCCGAGGTGACTACAATAAGGGGCATGGGAGCTCTGGTGGCAAGGGGAGTACCAGAATGGAGGGCACCTGCTGGTTCTGCAAGAAAGTCGGGCATTCTTGGTTCAAGTGCTTCAGCAGGCCGGAGGGATGGGCACCTCCATGCATGAAGCCGCCAAGTGGTGAACGCGCACAAGGTGGCAATGTGCAAAGCTCAGGTGCACAAGGTAATGCCTATCCTAGGATGTTTCTCGTGGTTGAGGATGTGCATGGGCATGAGTGTTATGTGGGATATGTGGGAAAGGTTGTGATGCATCCTCTCACACACTGGGTAATTGCCTCAGGTTGCACCAGTGACATGACCCCACAGGCAGATTTGCTTGATGAGGTAAACCCCCCTGGGAAGATAAAGTATGGGGCAGCAGCATCCAGGACTTTGCTCCTTGTGATGGGTGATGGGAATGCCAAGGTTAAGGGAGCTAATGAGGAGCTTGTAGGGCTTGGGAATGTTATGTTGGTTGAAGGTTTGTCTGCTAACCTTCTCTCTGTGCGGCGACTGCAGAAGAGCAAGGCCGAAGTGACCTTTAGACCAACCAGCTGCTGTGCTAAGCTTGGGAAGAATTTGCTGTGGAGTCTGGAAGAGAAGACCAGCTGCATCAAGGATCTGTGGCAGCTGCCCATCATCCCTTGGAATGGGAAGATTCCAATAGCAGCAACGGCAGCAGCGGCAAAGGCAATAGCAAGAGGAGATGCAACTGCACCAGCTGATGGGGTCCTGGAAGCAGTTAAGAAAGTGCAGCAGCAGCAGACACATGGTGAGGTGCTTGCTGATGTGGATGCGAGTGCGGCATGGGCTGAGGCTTTATGAAGAAGTGGTGAAGCCGATTCCGAGAACATGGCATGAGAGGCTGTGTTATGTGAAATTCCCTGTGCTGCAGAAGTTGGTGAAGGATGGGAGCCTCAAAGTATTGGAGGTCAAGGGGGGAGTGAAGGAGATTGGGAAATGCCCTACATGCTTAAAGACCAAGTTCTCCAAGTTCCCCTTCAACAGCACTATAGGACCAGCCAAGACCCCACTTGAACTTGTGCACATGGATGTGGTGGGGCCCACAAGAGCCCCTTCCCTCTCAGGCGACCGCTATTTCTTGACAATTGTGGATAACCACACTCGAGCAGTGTTGGTTTACCCTTTGAAGAGCAAGCAAGAAGTTGGAGGATTCTACAACATGGGATGTGCACTTCTTACTGTGTCTTCTCTCTCTTGATTGTGTCTTCCCTCACTTGACTGTGTCTTCCCTCACTTGAGTATTTCATCTCTCAATTGAGTGTGTCTTCCACCACTTGAGCGTGTATTCCCTCTCTTGAGTGTGTCTTCCTTCACTTGAGTGTGGTTTCCCTTACTTGAGTGTGCCTTTTCTCACTTCAATGTGTCATTTATCACTTGAGTGTATCTTCCCTAACTTGAGTGTGTCTTTCCTCACTTGAGTGTGTCTTCCCTCAATTGAGTGTGTATTCTCTCACTTGATTGTGACTTCCCTCACTTGCAGTGTGTCTTCCCTCTCTTGAGTGTGTCTTCTCTCACTTGGATGTGTGTTCTCTCACTTGAGTTCGTCTTCCCTCACTTGAATGGGTCTTCCCTCACTTGAGTGAATCTTCCCTCACGTGAGTGTGTCTTCCCTCAATTGAGTGTGTCTTCTCTCACTTGATTGTGACTTCCCTCACTTTTAGTGTGTCTTCCCTCTCTTGAGTGTGTCTTCTCTCACTTGGAGTGTGTGTTCTCTCACTTGGGTTCGTCTTCCCTCACTTGAATGGGTCTTCCCTCACTTGAGTGAATCTTCCCTCACGTGAGAGTGTCTTCCCTCACTTGAGTGTGTCTTCCCTCACTTGGGTGTGTATTCCCTCTCTTGAGTGTGTCTTCTCTCACTTGAGTGTGTCTTCTTTTACTTGAGTGGTGTTTTCCTTACTTGAGTGTGGTTTCCCTTACTTGATTGTGTCTTTCCTCACTTGAAGTGTGCCTTCCCTCACTTGAATGTATCTTCCCTCACTAGACGTGTGTCTTCCCTCACTTGAGTGTGTCTTCCTTCACTCGGAGTGTGTCTTCTCTCACTTGAGTGTGTCTTCCCTCACGTGAATGGGTCTTCCCTAACTTGAGTGTGTTTTCCCTCACTTGAGTGTGTCTTCTCTCACTTGAGTGCGTCTTCTCTCACTTTTGTGTGTGTTCCCTCACTTGAGTTTGTCTTCCCTCACTTGAGTGTGGTTTCCCTTACTTGGAGTGTGTGTTCTCTCACTTGTGTGTGTCTTCTCTCACTTTGGAGTGTGTGTTCTCTCACTTGAGTGAATCTTCCCTCACGTGAGAGTTTCTTCCCTCACTTGAGTGTGTCTTCCCTCACTTGAGTGTGTCTTCCCTCAATTGAGTGTGTCTTTTCTCACTTGAGTGTGTGTTCCTTCACCTGAGTTTTTCTTCCCTTAATTGAGTGTGTCTTACGTCACTTGAGTATGTCTTCTCTTACTTGATTGTGTCTTCCCTCACTTGAGTGTGTCTTCCCTCACTTGAGTGTGTCTTCTCTCACTTGAGTGTGTCTTCCACCACTTGAGCATGTATTCCCTAACTTGAGTGTGTCTTCTCTCACTTGAGTGTGTCTTGTGTCACTTGAGTGTGTCTTCCCTTACTTGAGTGTGGTCTCCCCTTGAGTGTGTCTTTCCTCACTTCAGTGTGTCTTTTCTCACTTGAGTGATTCTTCCCTCACGTGAGAGTGTCTTCCCTCACTTGAGTATGTCTTCTCTCACTTGAGTGCGTCTTCTGACTTTAGTGTGTCTTCTCTCACTTGAGTGTGTCTTTCCTCTCTTGTGTGTGGTTTCCCTTGAGTGTGTCTTCGCTACCTTGAGTGTGTCTTTTCTCACTTGAGCGTATCTTCCCTCACGTGAGTGTGTCTCCCCTCACTTGAAGTGTCTGTTCCCTTACTTGATTGTATCTTCCCTTACTAGAAGTGTGTCCTCCCTCAATTGAGTGTGTCTTCCCTCAATTGAGTGTGTCTTCCCTCACTTGAGTGTGTCTTCCCTCACTTGGAGTGTGTCTTTGTTGGTGCAACCCTATGGCTTGCACTCGGGCTTGTCGTCCTTGTTTGTGTGTGTGCAATGCATGGCATGGAATGAATTGTGAGTCCTATGTCATTGCTATCCCAGTGCTTGTGTGTGTGTTTGAATGGTGTATCACAATGTGGTTTGTGTTGGTCAAGACATTAGCGACTTTTTACAACTCGCATGTCAAGTCGTCGTTTGTGTGTCGCATGTGTTATTTCTATTTTGTCGAGTGTGAAGTGTCCATCGTGTTGCAGGTGTGTGCAGCAAGCCCCCATCAACTCAAGAATAATTTATCTTGCAGAACCAAGACCAAGAGCTCAATATTTCAAGCCCAAGGGACGCGGATAAATATTAAATAGTGGAAATAGTAACGCTACTTCGTCTAGTGTTACATTTCACTTGGTGTAGCCCCTTAGAGGGTTGGTTTCGAGACTCTTTGTGGTTTGGGACCCTGTGGTGGTGTACCACCAACCTGGACCTCGGCTCTTGGGGTATGTAGAGGCTGGGAACCATCTCCCTCTCGAATTCTTCTTCCTAAGTTTTTTTGTACTCCTAAGACTATAGTGGCTGCTGTACCTCCTGCCAGTCAAACTGCCATAGCGTCGTCAATCTTCATGGAATTTCATGATTCAACTTGCTGCTGATAGACGACAGCATTGCGCTCCAGATCCAATTTACAGATCACCATTAAAAGTCAGCGAGCAGATCGTTATCAATATTTGAAGCCGTCTGACGGAAATCCGACTGTGCTCTCTATCTCTCATTATTGGCACATCTGAGCCTATTGTGACTATAACAAGTGGTATCAGAGCCCCTTGGAGCTGTCTCGACCATGCCTAGGCCTGAGGAAGGGGGTGGCAGAGGTGCTGGAGGCAGAGAAGCTGCCCAAGCACAAGGCCAACACCAAGATCCACCCGTTGCTCCGGTGCAACCTAGACTTGGACCCTCTAGGGGTGAGCCTAGAGTGTTTGGCCTTGACAAGTTCAACGGTGACAACTTTGCTGAGTGGTCTTTCAAGATGGAGAACATCTTTGACCACTATGATCTGCTGGAGGTGATGGAAGGAACGGAGAAGCGCCCCGAGAACGACCCGGAGAAGAGCCCGTGGGTGCGGAAGAGCGCACAAGGCTACCTTCTACTTGGGCAAGCGTTGGGGAGCAGCCAAATCCGTCACATCAAGCCTTTTCAGCGTGAACCAGCAAAGGGACCAAAGGCATGGGCTGCTCTCAAGGGTGTACACGCTCCTGCAACAGCGGCGGTGGCTGTGGTTTTGGAGCGGCAAATGGCGGCACTTTGAATTGACGAAGGTGAATCGGTGGAGGAAGGAGTGCAGAAATTCTTCGACTTGTTGACATGCCTCGAAGGAGCTGATCTGAACTACAGTGACCTTCAAAAGAAGACCAAGCTGCTGGCCTTACTTCCAGACTCATGGTCCTCGCTCATCATCAACCTAAATCGAGATCTGCCCCGACTCTCACTCGAAGATGTGAAGCGGGAAATCTTACAAGAAGATTTCCGCCGACGCGAAATTGGCGGGTCCCGATGGTGCCGGAGTTGCAAGCATGGGCTGTGGGCACGGCCGTGGAAGGGGCAGAGGGCGAGGAGGCAGATTTGGCAGCAGTAACTTCAGTGGAGGCCGTGGTAATGGAGGATATGGCACAGCAACAACAACAACAATGGCTACGGGCGTGGGCGCGGTCGATTTGATGGCGAATGCCACTTTTGCCACAAGACCGGCCACATGTGGAGAGATTGCTTCAGATTGCCTGATGGATGGACCCCTTCTCAAGGCCAAGAGGGCAGAGGAGCAAGGGGAGGAAGAGGCAGAGGTCGTGGAGGCCGTGGTGGCCGTGTAGGTGAAGCGGCAAGCATGAAAGGTGGAGACTACGACAAGGACTCGAGTGAAGATCGATACCCGGGCCAATTCTTCTTTGTCTCCACGCAAGCGGCAGCTGCAGCAGGAGGTGTGGATGGCTTTAAGGAGCCAGCTACTGTGGGAAAGGTCACCCTTCACTCTCTGGACTTTTGGGTGATCGATAGCGGCGCCACCTATAGCATGACACCTCGTGCGACTTGCTCACCGAACTCGAACCGTCGCCGGTCAAGCATGTTATATCGGCTTTGGGGCAGCGAGCAGAGGTGAAAGGCATGGGCAAGGCCATGTTCAAGGGTGCTGATGGGGAAGATGGTGGGCCTCAAGAACGTGCTTTGGGTGCCCAATCTAGCAGCCAACCTGATCTCTGTTCGGCTTTTGCAAAAGGCCAGCATGGACACATCTTCCAAGGGCTCCAAAAACATATACCGCGCGGCTTGGTGAGCGGAAGCTTTGGGACCTTCATGAGGACAGGGACATCTACAATGAGATGTGGCAAATCCCAGTGGTCCCCATGCCTAAGGAGAGGCAAGTGGCAGCAAGCATCAGCACCAAGATTGAAGCGGTTGGTGGGGTTGATCACGGGAAAGCAAAGTGACACCAAGAGTGATTCGAAAGAGTGCAATCTTGGAGAGACCAGCAAGGCGTGTGAATCCAAGGAGAGTGGTGCAGCAGCCAAAGGTGGTGGAAATGAGGAGGAGAATCCTAAGATCAGTAAAGCAGCAGTGGCGAAGGAGAAAGGAGAGAGCTCGTGGGGCACAATTGCGAGTGCCGCTTTCTCCAACCTGACTTCCGCTATGGGAGAGTGTGATTGGCTGACCTTGCATCGGCGAATGGGGCATGTGGCATTGCCCATTTTGCAGCAGATAGTTAAGCAAGAGATGGTCAGTGGAATACGTGTCCAACATGCATGCAAGCCAAGTTCACTCGCTACCCGGTCCATAGCTCGGAGACAACGGCGAAGGCACCACTTGATGAGGTGGTGATGGATGTGGTGGGCCCCTTGAAGCTTGGAGCTGCTGGAGCAGAGTACTTCCTCACCATTGTGGACGTCTACACTCGCATGATGCTGCCCAAGAAGAGTGACGTAGCTGAAACGGTGAAGACCGATTTGGTTGCCGATGGTGGAGCGGCAACAAGACCGACTTGTGAAGGCTATTTGCACTGACCGTGGGGGAGAGTTCCTGAGCAAGGATTTCTCAAATTGACTGAAGAAGCAGGGCATAAGGCACTCTCTTACCATGCCCTACTCTCCTGCAATGAACGGCATCGCCGAGCGTGCGAATCGGACACTCACGGAGACGGCTCGGGGACTTCTCATTGAAGCCGGTCTTCCCAATTATTTTTGGCCGGATGCGGTGCGGCATGCTTGTGTGGCCAAGAACAGAGCCTTGACTCATGTGGGAGAAGACAAATGGGTGCCCTATGTGGAGTGGATTGGAAGGAAGCCGAAGGTGGATATGCTTCGGATGTTCGGGGTGGCTTCTTTGGGACCCATTTACCAGGAAGTTCTTGGTGAGCAGAGATTGCAAGTTCATGGAGAACTTGGCGTACAAGGAGTGGAAGGCGGAGAATCAAGCGAAGATTGGTGTGCGGCTTGGAGAGGTGAAGAGTACCGGCTTGGAGCATGTGGAGCTGCCCTTGGAGCTGAGTAGCAGCAGCACAATCACGAGGCAATCTCCTCAAATGAATGGGGTGAGGGAGGAGGAGGAGGTGCAGCAAGATGATGAGCGTGCACCATCACTTCCGCCTCGTGCTACCAAGTGCTCGTGGGAACCGACCAGATTTACCGCAACGCCATGAGAGCATTCAAGTCCCTGCAGTAGAGCAGGAAGGAAGGGGGAGAAGGAGGACTCAGCCCCCTAATAGGTTGAGCTATGACCGGCTTGGAGGACCAGCCAACTCAACCTTGACCGGTTCGGCTCTCATTGCTAGGCGATGATGCGGAAGATGAAAGCGAGGAGTGCGCCTTTGCCTTCTTCTCTCCGGTGGAGATGCCGGGGAGCCTACAAATCCCAATGAGGCTTGGGAGGGCCCCAATGGGAAGGAGTGGGAAGAAGGCCTCAGATGAAGAAATGGGGAGCATCATAGAGAATGACACATTTGACTTGGTGAACCTACCTCCGGGGCGGAAGGCGATCTCTTCGAAGTGGCTCTTCAAGCGCAAGACCGACGCCGACGGCAACATCGAGCGCTACAAGAGCAGACTTGTAGCCAAGTGGTATCAGCAGCAAGAGAAGAAGGAGTACAATGAAGTGTATGCCCCTGTGGTGAAGGGTACAACCAGTCGAACCCTCTTCGCCGCGGCGGCCATCAAAGGATGGGTGGTGAAGCAAATGGATATAGTAACGGCCCTTCCTCAACGGCGTTTTGGAGGAAGAGACTTACATGGAGCAGCCAGAGGGGTACAATGATGGGAGTGGCAGAGTGTGGAAGCTGAAGAAAGCACTCTATGGCCTCAAGCAAGCCCCTAGGCAATGGTACATCAAGCTGCGGGAAGTCTTGGAGGCGATCGGCTTCACTCCCTCAACGGCCGATCAATCCTTGTTCATGCTTGGCGAGGGGGAGCAGAGGAGCTTCATGGTGGTTTATGTGGATGACATCCTCATATTCTCACCCTCCTCTGACCTTGTGAAGGAGGTGATGCTGAAGTTTCAAGACAAGTTCAAGTGCAAGACCCTAGGTGACGTCAACTACTTCCTTGGGCTTCACATTGAGCGAGATGTGGAGAAGCGGTGGATGCGAGTGCATCAAAAGAAGTACTTGGAGGCATTGGCTGCAAACTTTGGGAAGAGTGAAGGTCATGTGGCTACTCCTCTTCCCTCAGGGTTCAAGTGTGTGAAAGGACCAGCGGAGGAAAGTGTTGGTGAAGAGGAGAGGCGCCGTTTTCATTCCTTGGTGGGCAGCCTCATGTATGCCGCCGTTCACACAAGGCCGGATGCAGCCTTTGCTACCGGGCAGCTGGCTAGGGTTGTCCAATGCCCTACTGAAGAGCAGGTAGCAGCTGGAGAGAGGGTGGCCAAGTACCTTGGCCAAACAGCAACTGTTGGACTGCCAATACTCCGCGGCGGCACAAAGGCGTCAAAAGGGTGCGGATGGAGTCGAACCCGGGAGGCTCTTTCTCACCGCCTTCTCTGATGCATCTTGGGCATCAAAACCAGAGGATATGACAAGTGTGAGAGGCTTCATCTGCTCTGTTGGTGGAGGCCCAACAGCTTGGGAGAGCAAGAAACAAGTGGACCAAGCATTGAGCTCGGTGGAGTCCGAGTACATGGCACTCTTCCGTGCCATAAGAGAGGTTGTGTGGCCGCGGCGTTTGCTAGCTGAATTGGGGGAGGAGCAGCAAGGACCTACCCCACTCTACTGTGATAGCCAGGGTGCTATTGCATTGGCAAAATAACCCCGTTCTTCATGGCCTTACCAAGCACATGAAGGTGAAATGGCATTGGGTGAGGAGCATGGTAACCGCGGGTGAAGTGGAGTTGCACTACGTGAAGACGACGGCGCAGCCTGCTGATATGATGACTAAGTGGCTGGTTGAGCAGCAGCATTGGAAGTGTTGCAAGCTTGCTGGGATGGCTCTGAACTAAGAGGAGCAGATTCTAAGGCCAACAATCCGAGGGGGAGTTTGTTGGTGCAACCCTATGGCTTGCACTCGGCTTGTCGTCCTTGTTTGTGTGTGTGCATGCATGGAATGAATTGTGAGTCTATGTCATTGCTATCCAGTGCTTGTGTGTGTGTTTGAATGGTGTATCACAATGTGGTTTGTGTCGGTCAAGACATTAGCGAGTTTGTGTCGGTCAACTCGCATGTCAAGTCGTCGTTTGTGTGTCACATGTGTTTTTTCTATTTGTCGAGTGTGAAGTGTCCATCGCGTCGCAGGTGTGTGCAGCAAGCCCCCATCAACTCAAGAAGAATTTATCTTGCAGATCCAAGACCAAGAGCTCAAGATTTCAAGCCCAAGGTACGCGGATAAATATTAAATAGTGAAAATAGTAACGCTACTTCGTGTAGTGTTACATTTCACTTGGTGTAGCCCCTTGGAGGGTTGGTTTCGAGACTCTTCATGGTTGGGGACTCTGTGGTAGTGTACCACCAACCTTGACCTCGGCTCATGGGGTATGTAGAGGCTGGGAACCATCTCCATCTCGAATTCTTCTTGCTAAGTTTGTACTTCCAAGACTATAGTGGCTGCTATACCTCCTGCCAGTCAAACCGCCATAGCGTCGTCAAATCTTCATGGAATTTTATGATTCAACTTGCTGCTGATAGGCGACAGCAACGCGCTCCAGATCAAATTTACAGATTTGCTTAAACCTCTCCCTTACAGATTCGCTTTTCCGTTTCGGAGGCATCTCGAGGATACGACCAACCCAACACATCTCGAGCCATTTCAGAACCTCCTATAGTGGCACCGTCATCATCCACTACGCAGTCATCTGCTGCGCCTACACCCTTTACACCCGCTAAACGCAAGACATTCGATTAAGGTAACTTTAATGAGATTTGTTTGTCGATACGAACCGGTAATTATCTCTTCATGTTTTAACTTGACAACTTTCTTACGCTGAATACATTTTTTTTCCCCTCTCCGTTTTCTGATTTTATTTTTTTTTCTTTTGTTGTGCCTTCTTGTGTCCACCAGTCTTTTCAGAATGTGTTATTTTCTTTTACGAAGACGACATGCCGATCTTGTTTTGCCGACTTACGTGCCTTAGCATACTATTTGGCAACTACTCATATTATGCATTAATGTCTACGCTCTGTGGGTGCGGCCATATGCTTGTTTATTTTATTACTTTAGTAATACATGTTTTGTGACTCACCAATATTGGTTTGAGCTTTTCATTTCAAGCAAGGTTCTTTGACGCTCTCCTCGAGTGCGGTCACTTGAACTGGAAGTGATAAGCCTAAATCATTATTTGGAAGTCACAAATATGTCTTTGTTGCACAATAGGCTTCCGATTTCCCCCCACTTAGCTGGGGAAGCGATCGTTTATTTTTGTTTTTGACAAAAATATGCCACGAGAAATGCCCCAAAAATAAGGGGAAAAAAAAAAACACAACGGGCAATTGTGGAAAACATTTACATTTTTTGTTTTCCATAAAAAAAATACCTGTAATATAGTGTAATTAATATATATATATATATATATTACACTATATTACATATTTATAGAAATCCCCTTTATATAGTTTGGTCAGAGAGAGAGAGTTTTTATTTTCCTTTTTTTCTTAAAACGCGAAACGGATAATAGTGGAAAACATGAGCACATTTGTTGTGTTCAATCATTGTCTATTTTGATGTATAATATTATAGGTAGTTATGATATAACACTTTTATCCAACTCTTTGCAAAGTAAAGCTACTGAACCTATGTAGTTTAAATGAATGATCGCTAGGTATATTGGCCACTAATCTCCATGTTATAATTCACTATAACGTAAAACTGACAATTTTTTTATATTTTTTACCATTTTAATTAAATATATTTGATAAAAAATCTCGTCAGATCGATCGCAATAGGTTGCTCCGCAACCCAAAAAAAAGGTCAGGGTTGGCAGTGCCACCCAAAATTGGGCTTGGGCACCCTTAGGAATCAGGGTATCATTATAATTTCACCCTGATTCGTACGAGAACCAGGGGTAAATTTGGCCTCAAAATACCTTTTACATTACAAAGTCAGGGTATACTCCGAAAAGTGATCGTTGGCAAAGTAGTGACTGTCCAAAGAGGGGCCCCATGTGTAAGGTTCGACAAATGTCACTCTTTGATGTAGCAGATAGCGCACGGTTGATGCGAGCCCTGCTGCATCGTCCCTGACGCCCTACAACTTTATGGTAATTGCCAATGTAGGCATACAAGCATGGGTATGCCTTCTTGTCTCGCCCACCCGCATCTGTGTCAAATAAAGATCGAAGGGGGCTGCTGCCATGCAGGGTGCAACATAGGGTATGGTTAGTAGGTGTGGGGGAAGAACAAGTACGGTGACAGCCGAGGGTGTGTGCAAATGTGACACACTCGTATAGGCGCACTTGTGCGGCAACTGGTGTGTGAGAGATGACATATGGACTAGCCTTATAGTGTCCATCATTAAAGGCCTAAGCACTATTCTTGCTGCCTCCTGGGACACCCTTGCTTTCTCCATGCCCAAGTCTGGGGAAACGGGAGAACCACCACAAGAGATTGCCCAGGCTCACACCATCGCAGCTCCTTCGGGGTGTTCACTAGTGAGATCAGCATTAGCCATGCTGGCGTCGCCCCGTTGTAGACACGTGCATGCTGTCGCTGTTCACATTGATGCTCTTGAGCACAGCATCCTGGGCGGCGGTAGTGAGCATTGGCCGGCGCCATGGATAACGATATGCGATGATGCGTCAACGTGCACCCAAAAGAACTAAGCACGTGAGCTGAATCATGGGTTCCGGAGTATGTGCATGAGTCGGTTGACCTCGCGACATGACAGGTTGGCATCCTTGAAGAAAAAGTACAGCTCCGTGAGCGTGTTGACCCCCTCGTTGTCAGTGGTATCATCTGTTCCGTCGGATCCCTCTGAGGAATGAGAGTTCTTTCCACTGGGGCAGCCGCAGGGACAAGCGTGACCCACGGAACATCCGCAGCAGCTTTATCCGGTGTAGACTGGGGTTGGAGGGACTGCTGAAGGCCTGGCACATTGTCGTTGGGAAAGTCCTCGCCACACATGTTACAGTACCTGTTCTCTACGCCAGCCCGTGTGTCTGACTACTCTCATGTGATGGCAGGATGTAAAATCTACATAGGCGGAGACTACTTGCCGACCTAGTGCAACGGCATTAGGGTTAGAGTCATGTGCGCGTGTACTGTGGCGGTGCTACACTTTGCACGCTACACACATTATTGGTTACAAAAACCATGTCATTCTTAGGTGATGTGACTTTCCTCAAAATTGTCCAAGCAATGCTAATTGGTGTGGGAATAGTCCTACTCCAGAAACGTACTTTGGAATCACGAACGACACACACGAAGAATCGTGGTTATGTCAGGGATCAATCCATGAATTCATGAATTACACTTAACTGCGTTACAATACATAACTTGCATGTGCAACATAGAGACGGTCTAATGCAAACGGCAGCCCCTGGCATGCAGAGCCAGGGCCTCGTGCACAAGACGAACGGGTTGTATCCGTAGGCTGGCGCCGCATGAGAAGCGAGACCGATGCACACAACCTCTTGCACCACCATGGGCCTAGACCTAGCATGCGAGATAGCTCCCTGGGGCACAGTGAGGACTAAAGGCCTTGGCCTCTAATGAGGAAGTCTTCTTGTTGCATGTTGGAGGTCGTCGCCAGCAATGACGTCAGCTCCGGACACGGAGTCTGCAGTGGGGCACGAATAGGTGGCACGGACCAGACTTTTCAGCACGAACGGCAGAGCGTCAAGAGGTTCCAACCCACACACGCACGCGCGTGAGCAATGCTAGGAGGCACTGCACCTCCTGCTGCCGAGGAATGCGTTGAGGCATGCCAACAGATCGTAAGCACCCAACACCCTCTTTTTATCCACCGCTATGGAGTCGTGGATTTGCAGGATGGAATATACGATCGTCGCACACTTCGCAATGAAATGACCGTGCGTGTAGTATAACCTGGGAAAATATTCATCGCGCCTAGCCTTGGGTGGGGCCAGTATTTTAAAGCTCGCACTACGGATTGTCCAAGAAGGGGGTTTGTTCAACACTTGAAGTGGTGTAGCAAACTTTTTACGAGGGGCGCGGAGGTTGGCAAAATTTTGTTGGGGTTCGCTATCCAACCAAACCCCCCCCCCCCCCTGTTCAACTGCTAAATTTTTTGACAATCCGGACCCAGGGCTTTAACAGGACCAAAGGGGGGACGCTGAAGCAATTTGATTTTTTTTCGGGTTTCTGATGCATACGGTCTCTCCGCGGCCACCATAGTTCCAAACGGTTCTGCACCCACTTGAGTGTGTCTTCCCTCACTTCAGTGTGGTTTCCCTCATTGCAGTGCTTCTTCACTCACTTGAGTGTCTCTTCTCTCACTTGAGTGTGTCGTTTCTCACTTGAGTGTGTCTTCCTTCACTTGAGTGTGTCTTCCCTCACTTGAGTGTTTCTTCCCTCACTTGAGTGTGTCTTCTCTCACTTGAGTGTGTCTTCCCTCACTTGAGTGTGTCTTCCCTCACTTGGAGTGTGTCTTCCCTCACTTGAGTGTGTCTTCCCTCACTTGGAGTGTGTCTTTTCTCAGTTGAGTGTGTCTTTTCTCACTTGAGTGTATCTTCCCTCACATGAGTGTGTTTTTCCCTCACTTGAGTGTGTCATCCCTCACTTGAGTGTGTCTTCCCCAACTTGAGCGTGTTTTCCCTCACTTGATTGTGTCTTCTCTCACTTGAGTGCGTCGTCTCTCAATTGAGTGAGTCTTCCCTCACTTTTGGGTGTCATCCCTCACTTGAGCATGTCTTCTCTCACTTGAGAGTGTGTTCCCTCACTTGAGTGTGCCTTCCCTCACTTGAGTGTGTCTTTTCTAACTTGAGCGTATCTTCCGTCACAAGAAGTGTGTCTTCCCTCACTCAAAGTGTGTCTTCCCTCACTCAAAGTGTGTCTTCCCTCACTCGAGTGTGTCATCCCTCACTTGAGTGTGTCTTCCCTCACTTGATTGTGTCTTCCCTCACTTGATTGTGTCATTTCTCACTTGAGTGTGTCTTCCCCAACATGATCGTGC